CACCATATCCTGTTTGGATGTCAGACAAATAATAATAGAGGTAACAGTTTATATGCACTTATTGATGACTTTGACTTGTGTATTCTGAATGATGGTGACATAGCTACAACTGTCCAGTATCCTAACAGAAATCAGTCGGCAATAGATTTAGCTCTGGTTAGTTCCGCATTAGCTCCTCATTGTGAATGGCACGTCCATGACGACCCGATGGGCAGTTACCACTACCCAACTGTGGTCGCTCTAAATGTGAAGCCTTCTGTATATGAAGTGCGTCCTGCGGAAGAAAAATACATTTATAATAAAGCAGATTGGTCTAAATATCAAGAACTATCAGAAACGAGATTTTGTAATTTAGAAATACATGGTACCGAACCTATTGATTTGTATAATAATTTTGTAAATATTTTGTATGATATTAGAGCAGAGACTGTTCCAAAGCAAACACCACAACAAACTTTAAGGGTAATGAGAAAACCTGCACCCTGGTGGAACCAAACATGTGATGATGCTGTTCGAAAGTCTAAGGAGGCCCTCAAAGAGTATAGAAAATCGCCTAGTATTCCTAATTTCATTAACTACAAAAAACTTGATGCTCAAAAGAAAAGGATATTAAAAGAAGAAAGTATTAATTCATGGCACAATTTATGTACTAGTTTTAATAGAATGACACCTATTTCTCGAATATGGAACTACATGAAAAGGTTTAGAAGGAAAGGTTCTTCTCATAACAGATATTTGGCTGACGGTTGGATACCAAGCTTCTTAGACAACATAACAGACTCATCACAGTTAAATGAAGATTATTTGAATGATATTTTAGATCAATCTGTTGAAAATGAAAGTAACTCATTTCTCAATAGACCATTCACACTAAATGAATTGTACATAGCGCTCAAAAGTAGGAAAGATACAACACCAGGGTTGGACAGCATACCATATATGTTAATAAAAAAATTACATCCTAATGCGCAAGAAATGTTATTAAATATTTATAATAAACTTTGGAATAATTTAGCTATACCAGAGTCATGGAAAACCCAATGTGTAATCCCCATTTTAAAGCCAAATAAAGCTGCTAATGATCCATCATCATACAGACCTATTTCTTTATCATCATGTTTAGGTAAGCTTTTTGAAAACATGTTAAAGTTGCGTCTAGATTATTTTGCTGAAACACAGGATAAACTACCTCACATACAATTTGGATTCAGAAAAGGCAGAAGTTGCTCTGAAAGCTTTGTATCTCTGATATCGGAACTTAAAAAGGCCAAACTTAGTCATTCTAATGTTATATGTGTATTTTTAGATGTTAAAGGTGCCTTTGACAATGTTAATATTGAATGCCTCATAAAAGTTTTGCATGAATTGAGCTTGCCAAGAAATGTATTAATCTGGATTTTAAATTTCTTGCATGATAGGACTCTTTTTGTTAAATTTAACAATAAACTACATGGACCTAGGCCTGTTAACAAAGGAACAATGCAGGGAGCGACACTTTCACCTTTGTTATATAATTTATACACATCTCAGATACTTAATTATGTAGATACATCACAAGTTAAAATATTACAGTTTGCAGACGACTTACTTTTATACAGTGAAAACCAGAATATAAATACAGCAATTAATAGAATTAATACTGCATTGGCACAATTGCATCTTTATTATAGCAACATTTTAAAATTAGAAATAAGTTCTGAGAAAAGTAAAGTTTTAGTATTCAGTAAAGACAAATTTGTAAACTCTGGAATTAAAATTAACTATAATAATGATACAATTCCTATAGCCAATCATCATAAAGTTTTAGGAGTTGTGCTAGATGATAAACTGAAATTTGATAAGCATATCAACTATATCTGTCAGAATGCCATGAAGAGCATAAATGTACTAAGAAGCTTAGCAGGAACCTTTTGGGGGTCTGATCCAAAAACACTTAGCATGCTGTATAAAAGTATTGTAAGGAGTCACTTTGACTATAGCTCTCTAGCTTACATGAATATTAGTAGCACATTGTTAAGAAAATTGGATGTGATACAGAATATGGGTCTGAGAATAATCAGTGGAGCCATGCGCACCACTCCTATTGTTTCTATGGAAGTTGAAAATTGCATACCTCCATTGTCCTTGCGGCGTTTGCAGTTGGCTGAAAGATTCTGTTTGAAGGAGTTGTCTTGTAACAATGATATTGTCCTGAGTAATATTTTATATCCTGCAGAAGTCTCCCAGTTAAATGGAACAGCCAACATCTCGGCTAATACTCTTATTTCGGGTACATTGCCTGAAATAACAACAATAACAACTTGTGTAAAGAATCAGACAAGAGATATGTACATCAGTAACAAGTGGCCTATTTACAAATGCCCATATGATACATTACTTAATTATCTTGATATAAAATGTCATTTAAATTCGGTTAGTACTAAGAATGAATTCTTAGAATTTTTAAATGAAAAGAAAGACTTTTACACTATATATACTGATGGCTCCAAGAGTGATCTTGTTAAAGCAGCATTTTATGACCCACAAATGAAAGTTATTAAATGTATTAAGTTGCCAAGTAATTGTAGTATTTTTACAGCAGAAAGTTGGGCTATATTAGCTGCTTTGTCGTATGTAAATACCAATGTAAATAGTGTAAATATCTTGATAGTTAGTGATTCTAAAAGTGTTTTATCTGCTTTATGTAACTGTAATTTAGTATATAAACAGAATTATATTTTGTATAAAATTAAGGATAAGCTGCAAACGATTGGAAAATGTATAGAATTCTTATGGGTTCCCTCACACAGTGGCATAGTCGGAAATGAGATAGTGGATCAGGCGACGCGGCAAGATCACCACGAAGACCAAACACAAGATTGTAAAGTCCCCTTCACAGATTATTATCAACACTTTAAAATCTTGTCAAAGAAACTGTGGAAGGATTACTGGAACATTACTACCGTGAATAAGGGAAAATGGTACGCAGAATTACAGCCAGACTTACCAACGATTCCGTGGTACAACCGCTTTAAATACACAGGCCGAAAGTTCATAACGACCATTAACCGCTTGCGGTTTGGCCATTGCCTCGTCCCTGCACATCTGTACAGAATGAAGATCGTAGCTGATGACAAATGCACACATTGCGCTCAACATAATGCAGACATAAACCACATAATTTTCCAGTGCCCATCGTTTGGGATTCAAAGATTGACACTTGTTAGTGAAATTAGTGATGTCGCTGAAGAAAATTCTATAAGTGTTCCCCGCCGCGTTCAGGATCTATTAACTGATGTAGCTTTTTTCATGCCTCTATTTAAATTTATACTTAATACTGTAGGAAAACTTTAATTATTTATGTGTCCTTAATTAATTGATAATGTTTGTAAATAGCTTCTTGGCTTATTTTGTAATTTAGTCTGTTCTATATTTATATAATAGGGAAAAAAGTAGAAAAATGATGGAAAACCATTCTAAATTGTTATTGCTAAAGTTAAATATTCTTAATTTGATGTATGATTTGTGTTATACTGTAATGTTTCCGACTGAAGGTCCTCGCAACCATGGTCACGAATAAATAAAAAAAAAAAAGGAGACTTCTTATATTTACGCGAATACTACACCTGGAATTACACTAATATTACGGATTTTATCACGTTTAGTAAAAACTGTTTTAATTCCCGACGTTTGGGGTGCTTTACAGCACCAATGGTTCCGGGGGAACTGAGGTGTTTGACATCCTCATATCATAAATAACGAAGGCTAGCTTCCACTTATAAATATAAATTTTGGGTTGATCTTTTACAATATCTTGAAATATTTTAGTAATATACTTGGTTAGGTTTGGATTTATTTTTATTAATAAAGGATCCTAAATAGATAAGTAGCAGCCAGTCAACTTCTCTATTGAAATTAGGGAGTTTTTTTTTTATATATCAATATCCTGGTATAAAATAATTAAAAAAATAAACTGGGCACTGAAGAGGTCAAATGATTCACATCACTACACCGTTCCCAATAAACCTGCTTCTGATTGTTCTAAACACCAGAGACAGAGGTTGCGCGGTGTAAAAAAATGTGCCCGCGTTTACAAAAACATTAAAAGTATATGCACATAAAATAATCATTGAAAACTGTCCCGTATTTTACAGTTTTCAGTTACCTTCTGAGTGATCTTCTATACAAAATTTGTTTGGCAAAAAAAGAAAGGTTTGGAAGGCACTTTTCTGCCCAGGCGTCTGATAAGAATTAATATGGAGAATCAATATGATCACAGGCTGTGAGACACACGTTTTGCCTCACGACATCTTCGGACTATTTTAGAATGATCGAAAGAATCATCACGTTATATTGTGAAACTAGTACAGTTTATGCAAATCACAAAAATGACTTGAAATGTGCTGTAATGATGATGATGGTGACTGAAAAATTAAAATTGAAAAGAATGTGAATGAATTCAAACGCAAATTTTAACATGATTTTGGATGAAAACCATTCCAAAACTGGGATTGAGAATCTAAGATTAGTTAGGAAGGATATAAGGATAGTGGTCGTGGTCGACTGTGTTAAAAGCATTTGAAAAGTCAACAGCACTATCACAGTAAGTTTCTTCTATCTTCTTCGCTTCTGACTTTTATCAAGGCAGTGGTGGTACTGTGACTTGACTGAAAGCCTGATATTTATTTAGCAGTCCACTGCTAAACAGAGGCATATCCCCATAGATTGCCTCATAGGGGGGATATTTGCCATAGTTGGCACGCTTGGCGAGCGGGTTGGCAGCCACAGTTTTTATTTTTAGTCGTTATTAGGAAAACGGTGCTGCTCATCATATTTGTTTCCGTACGTCGCCCCTTACGACAGCCACGGGATGATACGGGCTAATGGATTATTCTTACATTGCCACGTGCACGGTAATGATTTCATTCAGCAGGTTATGTTTTAGCAATGTACCTAAGCTATATAATGTACATATGTAAGTAAGTCTAAGTAATTAATGTGTATGACGTCGGCTATTACAGGAGCGACGCGATGTAGTGCGCACACGTACGTCGTCGGCGCCATCTTACGTTATTATGAACTGCGACTGAGTTGAAAACATTCACTAGATTATGATTTCTCATACCTCGCCTTTAAGTTTTTTATACATATCTGTTTGTAAATTGAAAACTGTGGTTGGTTCCTTTTGCTTGGATCAAGTTACAATGCTAAGTTTCGTCACAATGTGCGATATTCTAAAAAATAAACCAAGGTGCTACAGCAGTTTCGTAATTATCAACCCTTTCAATAAATACTTAAACTTCATTGGCTTAAATAAATATAGATTCAGTTTGTACTGATCAAGTAATGGTCCAACCAAGACGTACGCGTACGCGAGAACTGCCATTAATAAGTGGTCACAATATTTTACTAAAAAAAATAGCGTGTATCAGTTTGTTTGCGTTATTGATTGTATCAAAATACTATAATACATATTTATATATGTAAATTTCTTAATATTTACGAAAAAATTTAGTTTTAACTAAAGTTTTCTGTAAATATTAAGAAATTTACAATGCTTTCTATTACAAGAAAGTTACAAATTATTGAAGGTTCGGCCGGTTCAGTTATGGTTTGTGTTATTGTTCGACTCATGTAAGATGCACTAATCTAGACGAGCGCTTCACAATAAGGGCTAATTATCTTGTTCACCAGATGTCGCTAGTTGACGTTGGACTGAGGTAAAGTTTTTTGTTAAACAATATCATATAATTGAGAAGTTGCGTTCTAAATAAAATTTTATTGGTTTCTAGATTATTATATAAATACACAAAATAATGCCACAGTCGTTTATTCCTTAATGTTTTTCACATTTTTTTAATTAGTTTTTTATTTTTTCTACTTTAAGTAATATCTGTATTTTGTTTTATATGTTTCTAATGTAATTAATATAAAATATAACTAATATTACAGAAATAAACATTAACAAATTAACTTCTCTGCCATGTAATTTGTCAAATATTTAACCTCGTTCCTAAGTGGCGCCCTGGTGGAAAGTTGTGGATACCCTCATTGTCTCCATGCGTTCGTACGCAGGGTAGAGTTTCTCTCGAGTTAATCTCGATAGTGACAAATCGCCTCAGAATGTATGCGTTAGCGCTGAATTTAAACATGTGAGCGCGAGCCATCGCTGTACGTGTGGTTACAACTTAGTTATATTTCATGGAGATTTGTTTTCGACTACTTTCAACACATTTTTGATTGAATTTTTTGTCACATCGGCTACACGTACAGCGGTGCGGTCGCGTCGGCTAGACAAATGTATTGTACATGAAGAAATGTTAATTTATTATATTTATACCGCGCGCAGTCTGTGGCGCGTTTTGTAAGAAACGGAGAGAGTGAGAAATGGTAAATATAATGTGCGTTGTACGCAATGTGTGTTTTATTTCCACCTTTCATATAAATGCGGTGATACTCATTTTAGTGTTCAGTCAGAGGACGTTGCCAATATATAAATATACACATAATATTACATACGTATTTTGCAATGTACGGACAAATTTGCAGAGAAAGTTCAGAATAAGTAATATGGTGAACGAACGACGAAAAATTAATAAAAAAAATCTCAAACACTGTCCTTTTTATAATGCATTATTTTAACTGATTGTCATTCATAAATATGTAACGCCTACTGTTGTACAATGTGTACAATGCACGCACACATTCGAAAGGGTTGCTCGGTTACGTCATTGATAAGCAAAAATATGGATTTAAATTTTATTTATTAAATGATCCTAAGCCCGTTGTGTGAAGGAAAAATTGGAACCATAATCTGTACGTGGTAGTGCCGCGCTGCAGCTATATAGTCAGCTCAACCGGGTAGGACCACGCTCTCGCAGAATACTAGTGTAAAATAGCAGCTTAATACTGCTGTGCTTCGTATGATGAGCGTAGAGAACCGGAGGTCCCTTTTTCCGAACTAACATGTAATGCCTCGTGTCGTGGATTAGTGTCAGGGTTGCCTCCCCCCTAAAGCCGGCGCTGGCTCAAATACATCTACATTTTATCCTCGATCAAAAAATAATTTGCAGATACGTTGTCACCCTTGAGGACTAAGATGGAATGCCTAAGGTAAAAGGTCTCCGGCTCTCTACACTCACCATATGAAACACAGCAGCATTGCTCTGCTATTTTACGCTGGTGTTCTGTGAGAGCGTGGTCCTTCCCCGTCGACCATAATATAGCTACAGCGTGGATCTACATGTTTTTATGGCACCTACTCAAGTTTTTCTGCTTAGCTAGTCAACCAACTAGTAGGGAACGCCTTAAGCCGCAACTTCGGTTGGTTTCAACTTATCACTAGTGACAACAGCAACATACCTTTAATTCTGTAACAGCATCTTAAAGGTCCGCTGCTGAACATAGGGCTCCCCATAGAATGCTTAATAGGGGGATATCTGCCATAGTGCCACGCTTGGCAGGCCGGTTGGTATGTGTACGGCGAAAGATTGAATCATCTACATTAAATTACTTATTATTGTTTTGATTCCGAACTGGGGTCTTACCACCTACCTTTACGGAATGAAATGTGATAACGTTGGACGAACGGAATCCGAAGTTCAAGTACTGACATCAAAGACTTTTACAACAGAGACTGGTACCTAATAGGGAACAACATTGCAAGAGCGAGAGTATCATATCAGAGCTCACTCACTAACCACGTTTTTCAAGCCGTGCATTTCAATTGCCGCATTCCTGCAAAACTATGTCTTTAGATTGGAAAGACAAGATAAAAATAAAGAAAAAAATGTATGTCAAATTTTTTAGCTCCTCTTGTGCTCGTCGGCACGCTTGGACTGTGCTAAATATATTATTTTCTCAAACACGACACATCTCACAATGTCCATCGACGACCGTAAAACTGAAACTGTCAGGAGTGCCGGCAAGACCCTCTGACTCAGGTTTGTTTTTGTTTTTTTTTTAAACGTTACCCCCACACCAAGATTTTCTCCAGTATCGTGAAGGCAATTTAGATACATACATTTTACAAGGCCAAACATCTTGACCCGGATCAATTACTTGCAGGCCATACAAATACTTGTTCCGTGCGGGATTCGAGCCTGCGCCCGTTAGCGCCGCAACTCATTGCTAAGCCACTGCGACACGGAGCCTTCACTTGGTTTTCACGAACAAGAATTAGATAATTGCACGATTGCTGCAAAATTTCAAGTTTTTCCTCTTAATCATCTTAACATGTAAAATCCCACGGCTTGTCGCGGGACTCAAGCTTTGTATGCAGGAGCCTTAAGCGCCATGCGCACCATGTAAAGGCAGTTAGTACGGCTATACAAAGTTAGTACATACATAAATATTTATATTAAGTTGAACAAAATACTTGAATTAGTAGAGTATTCCTTGGTGAAGACCTCACATTGAAATCATGTCAAGGAGACATAGTTTCGCTGTGTAAAAAAAATTAGGCTGTAAACATACAGCAAGGTTCGTTTATTTTAGCTCCTGTCAGTGTGATTATTATTTTGGGGATCGAAAATTAATGTTGAGAATATGTTTACACTTCGGAAAAGAGCCGACATTTGTGCCGTAGTCAATATCAGACCAAACGAGTCAAGAGATCTTTTTAAACAAATATGTCAACTGTTGCTTTACATTCATACAGGATAATATTTTTTCGTTAGAAACTTTAACAAACTCATGAAATGAGTGATCTCTCATTCACATTTTTGGATAAATGTATAACTATTTAATTGTAATATTACAGAGTTGCATAAAAATTTCAAGAAGAAAAGTTATCATAAATTAGATTTAAGAGGTAAGAATCGGGCATAATCGCCGCTTCTTACATCCCGGTCCCCCACAGTAGGGACTTACTTTTTTTTGTAGGTTAAGGGTGACAAACGAGCACACAGTCCACCTGATGGTAAGTGGTTGCTGTGACCCATAGACATCTACATTTATCCGCGATTACGAATCAAAATGCAGATGCATTGTCACCCGTGAGGACAAAGATGGAAAGCCTTGTTTCCAGTAAAAAGGGTGTCCGGTTCTCTACATTCACCATACAAAACACAGCAGCATTAAGCTGCTATTTTACGCTGGTATTCTGTGAGAGCGTGGTCCTTCCCCGGTCTAGCCGACCCATTCGTGTTACAACCATACCAGAAATAATAGCTACAGCATGGCTCTACCACGTATAATAGCAATGGCGTAGCCTTCCCAACTTTCGAAGTGCTTTGTAAAAAAAGGTCAATTTGAATAAAACAATTTACTCATAATTCCTTAAACGTGTCGAATCTTACGACAGACGGAATTAAGCTTAATTACATGTACTGTAAATTTATAGGGAAATATGCAACCAGCTGGTTACCTACATAATAAGGGTAAAGTGACTTATTAGTACTAGAGGCAGAGACCTTTTAGGTTTTAGCTTTAATACGGTTGTAGCATGCAGTGGCGTAGCTATGTAGCCAAGGGCCCCGGGGCAAAAAATTTGGGCCCCTATTTAAACTAAACTAAATACTTTAAAGGTACAAAACTACTTCATCATCAGCGCCTTGTCGCCCACTGCAGGGCATAATAAAGCAAAGCTACTTACTACCAAGTATTCCGTGTAACGCATGACGAAGTAGATTACAGTTAATAATATAGGCAAACAACATAACAGTGGAAGAGCCACACGGCAGCTTATGTCCTATCTGCTGAGATCGTGATTTTAACGACCACCACGCTGAATAGCTTGGTTCTCGTTTAAGTTATCATGCGGGAAAATCTACTTATGACTTAGCCTTGGCATATGGTCCGACACGAATGGTTACTTCACCTACGCGGATTCTAGATGTGGAGGATCGTGCAGTTTCCCTGTAGAACCTTCTGCTGCCTGCTGTTTGGCACTATAGGTTGGCCGCGGCAGGGACAGGATGCGATCTTTTTTTGCAACCTTCCCTTGAGTACAGGGGTGGGTATGCTTCTCGCCGGATGATCCCAACGTGATTCTGTTGCTCATATGGTACATCAGGGAATGGAACTCTTTATTCTATCATCAGTGGTGCCTGGTTTGGTCGCTCCTGTAAAATTGCATCGCACGATAATAGGAGTGCTTCACCAGCACTGTTAAAGAGAAGTATAAATTCGCCTTCAGGTCGGTACGATACGGTTTACACAGCGCATGGTGCTTAGCATTACTCGCCCTAGACGTCAAGGCGAGTGGGCCTGATGGAGTTCCTCCCATTGTTCTGAAGACGTGTGCGCCCTAGTTGGCACCATTCGTAACGTGTCTTTTCTAAAACTCTTTCTCCCTAGGCGTAGTCCTGAACTCAAATAAGACAGCTTTAGTGCACCAGATCCCTAAAAATCGACCCCTCAGACCTATCCAACTAGTTCTCCAAAATTTTCTTATTTATTCTCTTTATTTGGTCTACAAAACAGAACACAATTTCAACATGTTGACAGGTATTATATGCGCTCTAAAATTATTGGTGAGTCAATATAACCATTAATCAATTTATACAAAAAAAAATTAAAACCATTGTGACCCATGAGATTGAGGATCACCAACTGAAAAGTAACTGGCAGTACGATTTCCGTCGGGGTTGCTCAGCTGGTGATTTTCAAGACTCATAAATCGGCGGAGGCAGAGAGGGAGATCTTGGCCGTTTGAACATAGCGAAGGCCTTCGATCGGATTTGGCACTTCTTTCGAAGCTCCCTTCCTATGTCCGAGAATTTGTGCAACTGGATCAGCAGTTTTCTTGCAGATTGGAGCAACAAAGTCGTGCACTAACCAGTAACGCGCACTGGTGATGCTTTATATACCGGCTGTGCCTATATTTCTCGGGAGATATATATATATATATATATATATATATATATATGTCGGCGCACGTCATCGCGCCATGGCCAAAAGTGGAGGACGCGGGGGGCGCGGACCGGTCGTTGCCCTGCGACTGCGCAGGCACTTCCGTCGCACACTCAGCTGCGAGATGCGGTAGCAGACGGGCACTTCAGTATTCAATTTGCGTTGTATTTGTTCAGAGTATTTTACGGCATTATATCTATAGTTAAATACAGTCCACTTATTTTATTTACAAAGTCCCGATAAGGCCTAAACATATATATATATATATATATATATATATATATATATATATATATATATATATCGTCCATAAGTCTCTCGTTAACAACGTTGTAATAATTGAGTGTGAGAGAGTGAATGAAGAGTCTCCCTTTATGATGAACTCTTTCTTCCAGAAGCGGCCCCACAGGAAGTGGACCGGGTCGAGCCCCAACGGTTTCGACAAAAAATGAGATTGACTTCATTATGACGACCAGACGACAACTGTTCAGTGATGTCTCCGTGATCGCGAGGGTGAAAACTGGTAGCAATCACCGAATGGTCAGAGGCACACTGGACCT